GGTATCAGGACCAGGTACCATGTGAAGCTCAAGGAATGGTTGTAGATCATTATGGATAAACTAAAAAAAAAGATCATTATGGAGTACATTATAAACGGCATTTGGTGTCGGCGGCATGTCACTACCACTGACAAAGTTCTCTGAAACACGATTACTATCATGTACAATGCTTTACAGTTCTCTCATATTCAAATGCTAAAATTCTGTAATTTCATATTTAGTAGTTTCTGCGGTGTGAAATTCATGTTTTATTTTGCTTGTGCAGTTGAAAATAAATGTTGGCAAAGATATTAAAATTCAAATCTGGCTTATTTTTCTCAATATGGGTTCAGAAGGAAATTGTCGTTGAGCTTCTATCTAAAGGTATGTCAGATTAACAGGTTGCTATCGCAACTCTTGATTTGGAGTAATGCAAAGCAACTGTGGATCTTGTCGTCGGTACATCTTGGGTTGTTGTTCTTCCAGAACGAAGGATTTTTTTCCCTAGATTGTGCTATGAAATAATGCTTGTATAACGCCTTGATCTCTTGGCTACACCATGCTTTCTGGAGAACACTATACTTACAGAAGAATGATGCTTCTATAGAATGTGCCACCATGAGTTCTGTCAGCTCTTTTAATTTTGTGTTCACTATGGACGAATGAACCATATAATTTGTCAATTTGATCAGTACTTGCTGAGTGCTTGCTTTCATGTTGCAATCTCAGATTTAGGCACTTCATAGCCATAGATTAATTTTGAATTGTTATGCTCAGTACACCAAATGTTGTTCCTAGGTAATGCACTGTTTGCAACTAAGTTTTGTCTTTAAGCACCAAGGTGTAGTAGTATGCATTGAAATAAATGGATCATTTCTATCTTTCTGGTGCTCATAATAGACTTTTTCATTTTGAATTTGTATGCTTGAAATTTGATTATTTCTATCAACTGAGAGTGGAAATGAACTGTACCGTAGGCACTTTTTCATTAGATTTCAGCAGCGGCTGATGGCAGCAACCTCATGGGCCACACATCCCCTTCTTTAATTGCATGCCCTCACAAAATGGATGGGGACTTGGTTCTTTGGTTGTCGCCGCCGGACTCAGTGAAGGACGAAAAATTGAGATGATCTAGTGGAGAATAGATGCCACGGGCTGAAGAAAGGAGGCGACGGTTTCAGAGCACACACCTTGAAGCGGAGAGGCGGCAAGGGAGTGCGTCTGGATGGCAAGAGGGAGCGGGACAAGGCAACATCACATGGGAGGCATGGTCAAAATCGGCGCCGTAGGAGCAATCGTGCGCGTGGGGGTCGTACCAGGGAGAAGGAAAAGGATGGTCGGTTTTCTAGGGCTTTTTTCCTTGCATCGGGAAATGGGTTTGGTTGAAAAAAACGATGATGTGGGGAGGTTATGCGAGTGGTGGATACGTGGGTACCATTTAATGTACCAAGTGCGCTTTAATAGTAGAGATTAAGATGTTGATATTTTATTCATTTTCTTCTTAGCTGAACATTCTTTAAACCAAAAATCTATGAAACTTGTAATGTATCATGGTCGCAATTTGTGAAGTAGAACTAACTATCCTTTGACCAAATACCCTTTGACCATTCATCAATTTTTATGTACTTGTCGCCCGTGACAACAAATATGGATCAAATAACTATGCACTATGGGCACTAATATGTTTACCTTCAAATGGGTTTGTTACTGTGTTTAGTTACTATGATGTTTCATATGTTCATCAGAAAAAATAAAGGCTTATTTGCTTGCATGTGCTTTCTCATGTTTGTTTGTTTTTTCTTCTGGTTGTTCCTTTTCTATAATTGTCACATAAAGTGAACCGAAACTCATATTCTATATTTCTGCTGTGTAGATACCCGTGAGCCCGCTGTTGAACTCGCTAAAAATGGAGATAGACATGGATTTAACGGTTCTCATTCATTTAAATCTTAGTGAATTGATACCAGTTTCCATTTGGAACTGAGATAACGAGGAATCGTTTCCTTCATGATACTGCATGTATGAGCTTTTTTCTTTCGGTCTAGGCCAATATTGTACAAAGTTATTTCCTAAAATTATATTCGAAGGTGTCTTCTATGAGAGTAACCATCTCAATCTTTTTTCTATAGTTGTCACAAGGTTCTTGTGCTAAAGTAAAGTGATTTTTGCTTGGTCAATATGTTTTCTTCTGAATATTTCAAGAATGAATTAGTTTATGCTGCAGTAGTGAGTCACTGTTAAAAATAGGGAGAAAGGTGTTATAAGTGAAAAATTATGTAGTATACTTTTAGCTTCCAAACATTTGTACTTATGTTCTATGCCCATTTTGATTTGGACAAATGTTTGGGAATCACAGTGGTGAAAAGGTAGGATGCAGGAAGAGAAACTTTAGTGCTTGTTGTAACGTGTTTGTGGCATTTTTCGTCTTCTACCCGTAACAACGCACGGGCGTCCTACCTGGCGGATTGACTAGGTGTTGCGAGCTTCATATCCTTCCTATGTTGGGTGTTAATATGATAGTTTGCAGACAACTCGGACTTATGGTGATGATATAAGGGGTCTGGTTGGGTCACCTTTTTTCTTCTCTCATATTCGGTCAACGACAGGGCGTGTCCGTAGATTTGAGGGGACGGGCTATAGGTGCTCTATAAGATTATTGTGTTTGATACTATGATGTGTGTTAGCTGATTGTTGAAGAAAAAGATGTGACATTGTTCTCGGTAATCCTAGCTCAGTGAGTAGTATCTTTTTTTTCTCAAAAGCTCGTGGCAACGCACGGGCATTCTACTAGTGTAAAGATAATAATGAAGTAAAACAGAACATGTTGCCGCTGCTCGATTTCTTCTGAACCGCTAGTTTCTCGCCCCAGCGGCGTCGTCAATTATGGACAAGCTCAGCTTGACAACGGCGGCCCCGGTCGACGAGAGCCGCTCCCGTCCGCTCCCTCTCACTAGGGTTCCGCCACCGCCTGCGGCGGCCGCCGGCTCGCGCGCCCCGGCCCTCCCCGCCCCCTTCTTCCCCCTCCCCATCTCGTTCCCGCTGCGCCACCTCCCCGGGAGGTGGCCGGGGCGGCGCCCTCCTCTTCCCTCGCCCCCCC